CCCTGTCCAAAAATGTTTCTATACAGTGAGCTATGACCACAAGTAACTAATAGACTTTATAATAATACATATTCATGCCATAACAGCTTATATAATTTCACTGTACCTTTGCTATTTTCTGTATTTGAATTTCACCGGCTTTAATGGAGCATAGTTTTCTTGTTGCCACGTTCTTTCATTTTTATCTTTGTTTTATTTATTTATAACAATATTATACTTGTACATCCATTTATAGATGTGTGCTCAGTGATGTTTGATATATATTCTGTCATGTCAACTGACGTCATTAATACCGTTGAGGCAATTCCAAGAATTAATTGACAATGCCATTGATTGTAACTGTCACTGCTTTTAATTTAACTACATTTTATTTTTATTCTGTTTTCTTTATTAATTTTTTATCATTTACTGTCATACACTTTTACTTTTTAACATTGTCCTTTAAATTTAATTTGTGTACCTATTTTAATCAGCATAACCATGTATTATTTTATTTCTGGTTGAATTTCAAATTCTTGTATCACCTGTATTTTTGTATTGCTGTACATTGGCACCATTGAAAATTAGGGTTCCATCTCAATGTGTCTCCCAATAAATGATGATGATGATGTACTAACTAATTTGCATGTCCTACATCGGGTGTTTCATGGTTTCCAGATTTTAATTTCTACTCTTTTTTTTTCACGTAATAGTTAGTTGAAAGCTGTCAAGTGCACGTCTGTATATGAAATTCTTGAAAAACATAGTTCAGAAATCTGTGTACTTCATAGACCTGAAAAATCTTTTCTCAAAGATGGTGTCTTCCATCGTAGGTAGTTCTTATCATACTGGTTTATGTTCAAGTGCTAATCTTTCTGGTCAGGTTGGGTTTAATGAGTTATTTGATGCTATAAAAACAAGGTGAATTATGTAAAAAAACAATTGGTCAAGCACACTACACAGACTCTGGCTCCAAATTATGTCATCAGCACAAGATGGCAGCCTTCATATGGAGCGGAGCTGCATCTTTATATACAGTCTATGGGGGAAAACACTGTGTGGGCTCAAAGCAAGCTCAAACAGATTAGCTTTAGGTTTAGATTAAAATAAGAGTTAGGCTAAGGCTAGCAGTGATTAGGGTTAGGGTAAATTAATGTGAGTCAATATATTGTCCTCTGAATACAAGGAGACATGAATCTGTGTGAGCATGCGTGCGTGTGTGTGTGTGTGTGTGTGTGTGTGTGTGTGTGTGTGTGTGTGTGTGCGTGTGCGTGTGTGTGTGTGTGTCCCATTCATTGGCATCACAAGGGCAGACGTTCTCCCAAACACTACAGTATTTTTTTCCCTCAAGTGGCCTCTCTTTCTCCTCCCGTTCATCTGAGCAGCTTAAGCTAATATGCAGAACTTGTGATTGCTAAAGCAGAAAACATGATTAACTGTCTCTTTTTGAAAAAGGACCCTCTGCAGTGCAGCGCTCCTATAGGCTTAGTGAAAAATCACCCCTCCAGTCTGGGTCAGGAGACTGCAGTGTAATAGCTTATTATCTGTCACTGAGAGGGAATCTGTCCCACGGAAAGGCTGATGTTTTTGATCTGGGTCATTGCTGAGAAGAAGGTGGCATCGTTTATACAGCTCAACATCTCATACACAGTATTACCAGGCTTTACAGGCCCATTATTTTATACAGGCGAGACAACATTTATTGTTAGTCTGAAACTCCAAGTGACATGCAGTCATTTTATCTCTAATTTATGCACTTAGTACTCCTTGTATTCTCCAAATGCCTTTTGAGTTACTGCACTAAAGGATTTTATGGATCACGCATTGTTGAGAGGAGAGGATAAGCGTATTCTGGCTTTTTTTTTTGCTTCTAGTAGATGAACTCAATATCATATTCAGCTCATGTCATGTTTTACACAACAAGAGTAAAAGTGCTTTTAGGGGTATTCCTGTCTCCTGCCTGCAGATATAACAGAACATGTGTCATAAGCTTACCAGACCCAACAGCAGATTGTATTTAAAGGCTGCAGAGGTCACCGTCTTGTTTTGCTTTCATTTTGGATTTTGGCAGAAATTTAAATGGCCTTAGCTTCAGCACTGTTGGGTGTCACATGAACAAGAGACATTCATTTGTCTGAATAAAAACCCAACAGCGTCCCTGGATGGGGACACTAAAGCGCACCAACCCAAATCACACACACTTATACACACACACACACAAGCATATAAAAAAATGAAATAATACTGTGCAAAGGGCTTAGGGGATAATCCAAGCAAGTGCAGTGTACTACATCGTCACAGGAATTAAATTCCCTCTTCATCCAAAAAAGGACATGGCAGAAAGGATGGGTCAGGGGATGACACACACAGACATGACCACAAAGCTGTTCTTGTCACTTCTCTTATCTCACAGATGTCTTTCTCTACATCTTTTCATCTTCCTCATCCTTTATTTTCTCTATCGCCTGCACCTCAGTTAGTTTGAGTTATGTTTTAGTGATTTTAATCCATCAGCAACAGGCAGCTGGTATTTTATCCGGTAAAGTCTGAGGAAATTAATTCACTATCAGCTCCACTAAAGGAAATCTCCAACATCTGCCCAAGTGTTGATTGCATATTTTGATCTAACTTTAAATGTTTCATGATGTTGTGGAACTTGAAGTTTTCAGGTCAATAGAGTCACAGTGGCCCTGTGGGGACATGATATGATAGCAATAACACACACACACGTTTGATTAAGTCTTTATGGACCTGGTAAAATTGGTGCGTGCATTTCACAGTTATGCAACAGTTGGCACGCCAGGCTCGAGGGGCAGCAAGTGTCCGGTGAACTTGCAACATTTTCCAATTAAGGATTTGTGAGGCATTAATGTGTTTGTGCCCTTTTGCAGACATCATATGGGTTTCAGGTTACATCAAGACTGAAATCTCTTACAGAGCTACACAGGGAGCTAAAATAGAAACAAACACAAAGATGATGCAAATCAAAGTTGTGTGTCCTTATAATAATCCAGTGCAATCCGTAGAGATTGCAAAATGGCTACAGAGAGCATGTTTCCCGCTAATCTGTTATTTCTGAGGCTACTGTAAGATTTTAAAGATGTACTATGGCGATTTGTTGTTTTCATTTCATAATTGTGAACTCCCAAAAATCAGTTCTCAAAGTAAGGGGTCATAAATGAAGCAGCAGAGATAACCCAACTTTAATAAAGGATCCACGCTGCGTTAATACTTGAGAGTGGACGTGCACGACGCTTGGTGCTGGCACCATCATCCTAACGGCCAAAATCACAGTTTCATGCTCAGGACATGTAACATTGATGGCTATCTGCTAACAATCATTTACAATGTTAAAGAACCAGATGAACACACACCAGGTTCACCAGCTGCCTCCACTTTTGCATTGTGAAGTGTGATTTGATTGGCTGGTGCCTCCACTGAAAAGTTGAGTTGTGTGAATTGCGGGTTAAAGTTCCCCAAAGTTAGTCTGCACACAAAGCCATGCTGCGATTTGCCTCACCACAGGAAGCAAAGGTTTTGTGGCCGTGCTGTTATGATCAACTTTTACTGTATGCAGCACAAGCAACGCAATGCAACTGTAGCACAATACAATTAGGCAACGCATGATGTCCCAGTGAATGAGCAGCGTTTATGTTAAAGTCTACAACTCATACATGTGGGTCCTGTGTTAGTCTCCAACATGGATCCAGTCCCAAAACTTGCAATTTCCCATAATGCAACTTAATAGTCTCTTAGAACCTCCCTTTTTGGTAAAAACCCATATTTAATTACATTAGTATATGAACCCAATTCCATAAATGCAGTTTGTAACAAAGCTTTCTGCTAAAAACTTTTTTTAAATCTCTCAACTCAAGCTTGAGTTTGCTCTGACATCATACACGTGTTTTTACACGCTTGGTAGTACTACCTGTCATTAACAGATCTTCATGTGTAAAATCTGTGGACTGTCCCATTTAATGTTAGCGAAGACAGCTCCCTCTCTCTTTCACGTCTTTGAATCAAGACAATCAATAGGCCTAAATGACAGATCATTCATTAAATATACCACCACTTCTCAGATAACTGCACGGACGTAGCATCATGAGAGGGACAGTAACTGCAATCCTTCCTGTAAGTGTTGGGTTTACTGCGCTCTGTGTACATTGTTTGTTTCTCCTGTGATTTCTTCCTCATATTGCAAAGTCAGGCTGATATTTCACCTTGAGGAATTTGTCCTTTAGCTTCCCCCGACTCTTTGCCACTCAGCACTTTTCCCCCCAGAAATCATTATCAGCCTCTGTGGGGTATTTAAACAGTAGCCAAGTTGGTACTTTGATATTCCTCCTTCTCTCTGACGACCTTAATTCCCACTCAGTAAGACGGCAAGGCAGCAGCAAGAGGTCTGGAGGTAATTCACTGTCATGTCAATGTGTCTGTGTGTGTGTGTGTGTTCGGGTTCATGTCTGCCCAATGTTGTGTGACACCAACAGCTAAAATCTGGACCATTTGATAATTTGAGCTGAATCTGTTCAACTTTGACACAGAACACGAGATCATAAAATAAATATTTCTGAAAACCTTATTTTCTCTCTCTCAACCACTGAGCCAACCCACATTCCTCTTGAGACTCCAAAAAAATCAATAATGCTGTAAATTTTGCAGCAGTCGGAACAAGGAGGAGTATCATTTATTTCTCAATTAAAAAAGAAATAGAGCATAAGTGTATTTCTGACGAAAAAAATAATGTCTCTATCCTACTGTATATTTTTACAGAGAGAACACATTAAAGTAGCAAAACCTTGAGGGGCTTTTGTGTGAACTTTTTGTACTCTAGTTTGTGTGTCTGTGTGGGTTTAGTCTATGTGAAGTTGTATGTCTGTGTAAAAGATGCTGCAACATTTGCTGCATTTGAGGGGTTGTGTGCAATATTTTTGGTTTTTTAGAGGATTAGGGTTAATTAGAAGCTCAAAACACAGGGTGATCTCTCTCACACACACCCACACACACCCACACACACCTACCATTCATGCCATTGTAGATGCTTCGGTGATGTGGCGACAGCTCGTCTCCAGCCGGCCTCCTCTGCCCATCTCTCACAGGGCTGCTGAACTTCACATGGTCAGGGCTCATACTGTACTGGTGCCTGTGAATTTCAGGGCTGCCCCCTGGGACCACGCAGCCCTTTTCGTGATGCTCACCGGACCCTAAATGTGCCTGTCGGGGCTCGGGACTCCCACAGCCTGTGCTGCTGATGCTGCTCCTGTGGTGCCTCTGGAAGATCTCTCCGCTGCCCCCCTGGCCCAGGAAGTGCTGCCTCTGTCCCAGGAGGAGATCGGAGCTGTGGTGCTTGGGGTGCTGCTCTGGACTGCGGCGCCCCACGTTCCTCCCGTATTTTTCCGGGCTGAGGCCTCGTATGGATCGACTGTGGTCAGGCACGGAAATGGAGCCGCAGCGGGGTCGGCTGAGCTGGGGCAGGGTGTACGGGTACTCCAGGCTTGTACTCCGGTGACGCCCAGTTGGGTGGACAGGGCTGGACACATCCCTGTCCCCTCCTATTCCACTGATGCTGCTACATCTGGGTTTATGTACAAGCTCAGGGCTTCCTTTTTCCCCAGCACTGCCAACTCCACCCACTCCCGCAGCCAGGTGAGGCTGCTTATGATGAGGGTGATCGGAGCTGTCGGCACTGCCAGCACTGGAGGTGCTACTCCCGTCCCCTACATCTCTCATCAGGAGCCCCTGTCCAGGCACCAGCAGCAAACTATTCTGGCTGTCTATTGAGTTGCGGCACCCTCCCATCCCTACAACCCCTACACTTCCACTTCCACCTCCGCCGCCACCACCTCCACCCACCACTCCCTTCTCCTCGTCCAGCAACAGACACAGCTCCTTCAGCTCCATGTTCTCGCGGATTACCTCCTCCTGTCGCAGCTCCAGCTCCTTGAGTTTTTGGAGGTATAGAGTCACCTCTTTGCGCATTATGCTGGCGCTGTATCGTCCCAGGCGCTGCCACTCCCTGGAGACACGCTTCCCTTTCTGGCGGTCATCGTCTAGGAAGCAGCACAAATCCCGCAGCTCACGGTTGTCCTCCTGCAGCTTCTGGTTAATGTCCTGAGAGGAGGAGAAGGCAAAACACAAGAGGGAGAGATGAGGCATTCAGCCTGTAAGCATTAGGGAGCATCATAAATCCAGGTAGTGCTAATCAGCACAGGAGGAACACAAATGTGCCCTTTCATACACAACAAAATACTTTTTCTTCCATTAATTGTAAATCGCTGAAGCCATTGTCCCGTTTCAATCCACTTTACTGCTCTTTTAGATATCAGTCAAACGCTGTATGCAATCATGATGAAATGAAACGCTAATCCTCTCTGTCTTTCCCATAAAAGCATTGACTCACTGTACCATTCAATGTGAAGTATAATGTGGATTAGAATGCTCTGTTGGAGATGGAGAGACCACACACAGAAATCAGAGTGGGTTAGGCCAGAGAAATCATACGCCTTGAACATTTTGAGCTACATTTACTTAAATATACCTTCCTCTGCTCCATCTGTCATCCTGCAATAATTTAACTCTCCCATGCCCCCCCTTTCCATCCCTACCCTTCTCCCTCTCTTCCTTTTATACCCTCTGGCCCTTTCTGTGTAATTAGGCAGCCTGGATGGGCGGAGAGGTGACAAGGTCTCCAAGAAAAGGCGAATGATCCCTATGTGCTTCATTTCAGGCCACCTCCAGCTGTGTTTCAGCTTTAACTGTAAACATTGTGGACACTGTGCCATATTCCTTTTATTAGTGGTGCAGAAAAAGAATGGAAGTTTGCTGAAAAGGAGAATTTTCAAATGCCACGTTGCCCTAAAGGCAAATCACCCCTGCACATGTTGTAGATTCATGTGCAGAATGTGTGTGTGTGGAAGACAGACAGAGAGAGGTCTGGACTCCAGATCTCAGGCCTGGCATGTGAACAGAGAGATGCCCTCCTTTTCAGTATTAGGGGGATTTTTACCTCTCTGGCCTGCTGCACATTTACTTGCCCTGTGTTTTGTAAGCTGATTTGCAGAGATGGGCTGTATTCTGTTATTGGTTTTGGTCACAAAAATGCACTGCTCTTGGTTTTTCAAAAGCCTTAATGATCCCACCTCAACAGCAAAAGTTAGATGAAAGCTATAACTCTAGGTTGAGATTAAGCATAAAAGCCTATGTGCACAGAGGCTCTCAATTCATTCACATCAGATCCTCATGCAGGCCTACACAATGGCTCAACGAACTTCAATGACACCACCTCTCCTTATCTCGTGCTCATCTCATTTGCCGATGCTCTCTCTGTACATGGACAAGCCTCCCGCTATGCGCGCTCTCAGGTGCGCTCCAAACCTATGATCTCATCCCTCAGCCAGTGCGCGCCCCCTCCGCCGTGCACCTCACCTTCAGCCCCCGGATCTCGTTCAGGTGCAGCTGGAGGCTGCGGTTGACCTCCCGGATGAGATTGCCGTGGTCCAGGATCACGCTCATCTTGTCGGCCTCGGAGCGCCTCAGCCGCCGCACCAGCTCCTCCTTGGACCACTTGAGCAGCTCCTCGTCCGTGAGCCCGGAGATGTCCTCCGCCGGACTTTCCGTCTTGGCTATCGACAGCTGGAGCTGGGGCTGGGGCGGCGGAGTGGCTTTCTCCATGGGCACGGCTCCTCCGGCACCGACAAAGGGCAGAAAATACTCAGAGGCTCGTCGGCGACCTCTGCTCGCATCCGCTCCCCGTTCGACTTTTTCAGGCTGGAAAGACGGTTACCGATCGGGAATCAGTCGCATAGTTTGTCCCTTTTTTCTTTTCTTTCTGCAGCTTCCGAGACTTCCACTCTCTCTGCTGTGGAGCAACAGCTGACGATGCCGGCTGAGGAAGCAGCTGATGGGGGGACGATGATGATGCTCCGCCGTCTATCACTGCAACATCCTCGCAGCAGAGTCTATGCAGCAGACTGGCGCTGGGAGTTATCGCCTCGGTTTGGGCATCAGAGATCAGTCCTGTGCGCGCAGGGGAGGAGAGAGGAGCGCACACACCTGGAGGTTCAGCGCACTGCGAGAGAGAGGGAGAGAGAGAGAG